GCTTTGCAGTGGGCTCTCCAGAAAGCCGGGAAGAGCCTGTCTTTGGATCGGCGCACTTTCCTCCGCACCCAGGGCTTCATGAACACCTTCATCAAGAGCATCTCGGAGGAGGAAGTGGATGAAGATGGGTTGGAGAAGCGCCGCCTCATGTGGCGAAGAATGTTTGCGTGCCTCGGCCAGCTGGAATCCTCTTGGAAGAAGAGCACGCTGGATGTCAGCAAGCACGTGACCAGCTTGGCCAACGCCATTGAGAAGGAAACAAAGAAGCGCAAAGACCGGGAAGCCAAGGAAGCAGCTGCCAAGCACCTCGCAGCTGTGCAAGAAAAGATGAAGAAGGCCAAAGCTGACGGTTCAGATATGCCTGATATCTTCAAGCTTGACAAGAGCGCGCTGGTGAAGGCCCGGAAATAGTCTTCATAGTTCCCCTAAACCAAGCCCCCGCCCTAAACTCCAATTTCCCTAGATCCTGATCCTGAACCCTTTCATCTTCTTATGCCCCAATCATGCCCAAATCTGTCAGGCCATGAAGGTGCTCAAGGGCAACTCCATTCCTGCGGACGCTGTCTTGGATGAGCCGATTGTGCTGCAAGAGAGCTCCCATGAGCAGGCTTGGGCAAGCAATGGGGTATGCCTCCAGGTCATGACGAACTTTGGGGCCAGATACAAGAAGGTTCCCACGTATGAGGCCACGGGAAAGGTCACTCAGCCTCTCCAAGCAAGGGCTGGCAACGAGCCCACGGAGAAGTTCTTTGCAGACGTGATGTCGGCCGTGAAGGGGCAAATCGTTGATATCAAGGACATTGCTCAGAATTGGATGACCACAAGTTGGATGTTTGGGCTGATGCCGAAGCGGATCTTTGCCGGCCTGCCCCCCAACTGTGCGGCCATGCTTCGTGTGCTGGTTTATGGCGAGATTGAGGTCTATTCATTTTCCACCGAGAGCTTTTTCAAGCACCTCAAGGACAAGAGCATCGCCCTGCCATCCACAATTGCGGAGTATGAGCAGGCCTTGGCGTTTGACTTTGGTGGATGTTCCAGTTCGAAGTCCCCATCATAATTATGCATTCCTGGGTTTCATGTGGCGTGTTGAGTCCAGTGCGCAGACAGTAGCCAAAGTCAGTTTTCATGTGTCACCGTGGGAAATTCTGGCGTGTGGCTTGCGTTTAGCGTGTGCGAGAAGAGCCCAAACCATTTGTTTTGCGATATGCGAAACAATGTTACCACCTTCAGACTTCAAAGCCAAGTCTTTGTCTTCGCAATGGTGGTGCCAGTGGAGTCATTGGATAGCCTTTCGGTTGGAGGTTAGTTTGACAGGATAGTTTTGTTGTATGCTGTAGGATTCTCTGGAGTCTATTCCGTATTCAGTTGCAAGTGCAACGCCATCGTGTATTTCATATTTTTGTTGAGCTTGCAGCTTGTATTTCCAAAGAACTCCTGCAATCATTCAGTAATCGCAGTTGACCTAGCCCTATAGCCTCAGCGCGTGCAGTGTAATCATCGCCCAGGCCGCAGACTGATCTATGTTAAAACCTGCTTGAAGCCTGGTCCTTGAGTCCCCATGCGGATAAGGGTGTTTGGTTTAGGGTTGACCATGAAGTAGCATTCCGTCCTAAGCCCCCATGTTATAGCCTGAAGTGCAGTTGTCTGTTTTGGGCAGGCCACGTAAAAGATAACAAATGTAAATTCCAATATGTGACCTTCCCTGAGCTTGTCCTCGAGATGGACGCGAACTCATGGGCGGGCTTCCAGCCGTCGTACCATCTCATGAAGAAGGGCGATGTGATGTTCACGCCGCTTGGGCACATGGTGATCGAGCGGTCCTTCAGCGGGACAATGGTGTATGGCTCGCGAAAGTCATACATTCTTAGTGGCAATGCATCCATGGCTGAGTATGGCCAATGCTTGGACCTGTTCTCAAAGAGCGGGAACAATTCAGAGAGGATGCAGCAAGTCCAGGAGTGTCTGAAGCAGGCTACGGCCAAGCTGAAGCAGTCCTAGGTTCCATGTGCGGCCTCACGCAAACGCGCGAGGGTCGCGCAGTCTGGAGCACATGATTTTTTCTGCAGGGCTGGAACTTTGAATCAATGTTGGTTGATTTGATTGCGTCTCCAAGCCGATTTAAATGCTGTGCGGATCACTCGGATCACAGAAGACACTTGAAGACTTGAAGACTTGGCGAGAAAACTCTTCCCGTTGGGCGTGAGCAGTTTTGCAGCATAGCGAGTCCAATGAAGAATTTGCAACCGCAGCAGTCCCATGACGCATGACTTGCCGCATTCCAGTGGGCAGTTTGTTATGCAATCATGTATAATAGAAACCAAGCATGAGTGAACAGCAGCATTTGTGTGAGCCTGTGGGTGTCACCAATCCCCAACTCTCTCCATTGCATGTGCAGTTTATTCATCCATGACTCACGCTGCGCAACAACGTGGAGAATTTGGGAGGTGAGCAGTCAGGGGCGGGCAGAGGGGTGAAGCGAGGGTTCGTGCCGCAGGTGGCGAGGTCTGTAGTGGGGTTGTGGTTGGATGGGCGAAACTCTGAGCGCCTTGCCAATGGCAGAGGAGCACATGCGCTACCAGCCATTCAAGTCAGAGGTGTTTCAAATTTCAAACCCAACTCACAGAACAAATTACATGGCCGCATGGCCGCATGAAAAGCTGGTGCGAAGCAATCAACACGGATTGCGAAAATCCTTGACACCAAACTTAAACCCTACACCCTAAACCCTAACCCTATAAACCCTAACCCTAAACCCCAAACCTTAAAACCCTAACCCTAAACCCTAAACCCTAAACCTTAATCACCTCAATCCGATGCCATATCAGCGCATAAACCTGACCCTCCTACCATTTTGGCTCAGCGGTGTCTCCAAAGACATGCCATTGAAGCTCAAGACGCCATGTGTTCTCAAAGAAACCATATGATGTCACGAAATGGCTGAAGCATGTGGTCTCATGCTTGTTTATGCCATTCATGTCTCACTGGATTGTTGGTGTCATTGGCCCATGGGCTTCTGTGGTAGCTGAGCAGTTTCGAGCTTCATTTTCTCAGAGCCAGCCGCAGGGCTTGCCGCACTAAGTTTGCACGAAATTCAGACCCCAGAACGACATTTCGACAACTAGCCAGTGTGCATGAAGCATGGCAGTCGGGGAACGGTGCACGGGGTGACATATGCACTGTTGGGCGCAATTTGTGGTTTCACATACACAAATTTCCACACGCCGTGCGGAAATGGGTAGGAAGGGAAGGGGGCGGAATGTTCATGTTCTGACGTACACAAATT